GAGAGAGTGAGAGTCAGAAAAACAGTGTTTTATGAATGAATAGTAAACACGCTTTCAATAGACAGTGAAAAAGCATTTTCTCATTATTTCTGGCATTCATTTCAATACTAAACCAATCGATCGCTTATTAGAAGTGCTGTTTGTGTTGTGTTTTTGGTCTATAAGTACCGATTATTATCGCAATTATTGTAATAACAAAAGTAATTATCGCTTGAATTTACATGTGAAGAGTCGGCAGACATCACAACCAGACCAACAGCACAGGGCGTCAGTCAGTGAGTGATCAGTGGGTGAGAGGGAGAGAGAGAGAGAGTGGTGTCGACAGTGAGTGATTGTGTTGTGGATCTGATCGGGTGATGTCCAGCAGCTCTGCCACACCATATCTGATGGACGATAGCGGCAAATACATCGCTTCCAGTCAACGACCGGACGGCAGTTGGAGGAAACAGAGGCGCGTGAAGGAGGGGTATGTGCCTCAAGAGGAGGTCCCCATCTATATGTCGAAAGGCAAACAATGGCAACAGGAGAGAGAGTCCGCTCCCATTCCCGGTCTCGTCCCGACCGCCAAACCCCAGGCAAAGGTATGAACACGTGTTCTCTCTGTCTATGGATCTAATGATTATCATATGTGTTGTCTCTCCCCCGCAGACGCCTCTCAGACCACCGCCCGGACTGTTGGTGAGTCCGCCCATCTCTAGCGCCCGTTTGGCCACTGGTCTGACAGTGGATACCGAGTGGACGACTGTCGGCGGCAATCGTAAGAAGAATAAGTCAAAAGCCAAAGCGGGAACCGAAGCCAAAGAGCTGACCAAAGCGTTGAAAGCCATGTCAGTGGCCTATTCTGATGGCCCGATAGCAGGTCCCAAAAGTGATAAATCGGACGACAACGTTGTCCGCAACGAATTCGGTCAGCCGTTGGCCACCGAACCCATCAAACGGTTACGCAATCTGAAGAAGAAGTTGAAGGAAATCGAGGCGTTGAAGGCGAAGGACAAGTCCAGCCTCGAGAGGGAACAGTTGGATAAGATCTCCAGAGAAGACGAGATCGTGAAACAGATCCTAGAATTGCAACGATATTTAGACAATTAGATTGACATTTGATAACCAATTATACACACAATTCAGACCACATGTGAAGTGTTTAGTTCAGAAACACAAAGACAGTATTGTAAATGGCTAATTAACGAACTAAACTAACGGCAAAGCAGAGAAGTATAGCAAAACGTAGACAAAAAATCGGGTTTTAATCAGATATAAAACTAAAAGATTTTATTTGATTTAATTTAAATGACAAACAATTTTTTCAATGATTTTTAAATCAACTTAAAGTCTATTTGTTTTGCTGTAATTTAAACTTATATTTAAGGCATTGAATGAATGAAATTGAAAATACTATTATTAATATAACATTAATTTAAATACAATCAACTTTTTTGACAAACATTTCTTTCCTTTTGAGTGTATTTATAATTTTCTTTACAATTATTTCGTTTTTTATATGAGTTTTGAATGAAATTTAATTAATAAATAAATTACTCAATAAATTGTGTCAATAATTTACATGATTTAATCATTACTTTTATTTGAATAGTACACTGTATTTAATGTACTATTTCTAAGGCATTATCAAACAGTTTAACTAAATTTATAAATTATTTATAAAGTATTGACAAAATTTTGCCCATAATTTAAGAAATGATTAAATTGTTTACTAATAGAAATTTTTGTACTTTTAATATAGTTTTAAGTGCATTAACACTAAACTAATATTATATTGTGTTAAATGATAAGAATATAATTAATTAATATATTTATCAATTTGTATTAAAATAAAGTAATGAATTTACTTTAAAAAGTAAACAATAATTTCATTTATTATTAAATTATTAAATCATTACCAAAATAGAGATAATTATACAACAAATTATCAATACATGAGTGAATTTAAACTTTAAATTTCAATTCAATTACACGAATGGCATTGAAAATTGAAATAATTGACAAAATCCTGTATATTTTGTGCACATCTTTACAGGTAATCAAAGTCTACACAATAAGTCGGAAGAGACACACAAATGGCTAATTTCAATGACAATTAAGATTTGCACAAAACTATAAATAAAATAATTGCGTTTAGTTTTCCCATTTATTTGCTGTAAAATTTCATTCATTGTTTGAATTATACAAATAAATCACTCAATAAGTAAATTATTCAAAGTGTATATCAAAATGAAGGCACAGTTACTTTTGCTGATAATGATTGTAACATTGATTGGCAACTCATACCAGGAGTGCTGGTGTAATGTCCGACTCCGGGGCGAGTATTGCGGATTCGAACTGAACCGGAGGAATGGTAACCAAGACTGCGAGCGACATATCTATTATTGCGGCCGAAATAATATGAACAAAGTGGCCATTTTAGTGGCCCGATGTCCCGACGAGTCTCAGTGCGAGGATAATCAAACTCGACTGTCTTCCAGGACAAGACGGAGTGATACTTTTAATTATTTTATTATAATTATTTCTTTTAATTACTATACTTTACATTTAATTTTTAAATTGATTGTAAATGCATTGAATGTCGTCTATATTTGCGTTCAGGAAACACATGTTTGCGAAAACTTCAGTGTCATTGTCGCGACGGTATGGATGACGACGACCTGTATTGCGGCAATCAATTGACTGGAAGTGATTGTCCGCCACACGTGCTGTTCAGGTGTCGGTTCAGTCGAAACGGTGTGACCGCTCGCGACGCCTGTCTGGACGGCTGTCACGACGGGAAATGTCTCAACGGAGTCGACATTCCCGACAATTTCAAACAGGATTCAAGTAGTGATGGTTCGGATACAGAGATGCCTTAAGACAAATGTTAGTTTTTTTAAATTTAATTAACTCATTAGTTATTCATATGAATTCAAATGTGATTTATTTTAAAAGTTATTACAACAATACAGTAGAATAAATATTCCTACGGATAATATTTACTTATAATATTTGAATAAATGTTATTCTCTATAATATTAATTGTGCACTCGTTTAGTGAATGAAATGTTAGGACTTTGTTTAGGAGTGATTGAGAACTCGAAATTGTATTCAAGACTTGTATCGGTTTTATGGTTGGCTTTGATGTCGTATTTCTGAAGCAAAGAACTCAGATATAGAAACACTTCGACCACTCCTAAGATCTCTCCCGGACACGACCTCTTCCCTAATGGACACAAACATTGTTATCACTATTTGAATGTAATTTGCATTAAAATCTACACAAACCGTATGAAAATGGGATCAAATGCTCGGGTTTTTTAAATGTCTTGAGATCTTCGCTGAGAAGTCTTTCGGGTTTGAATTCCGTTGGATTTTCCCATAGATTTGGGTCGTTATCAATGGCCCAAAAGTTGGCCATAATTTGAGTGTCTTTTGGTATTTTGAATCCTGAAATTACCATATCTTTAGACGCACTGAAAGTAAAACAAATTTCTATATAAATAAGAGAGAGAGAGAGAGAGAGAGAGAGAGATTATTAAATATAAATTTACTATCGTGGTAGATTAAGTGGTGTAAGTGTCCTGAATCTCCAAACTTCATACATGAATGCCTGCAAAAATGGCATTTGGTTTCTATCGGCAAAGTTAGGACTCCTTTCTTTGCCAATCACTTCATCGATCTCTTTCTGGATGTGTTGTTGTACTCTTGGATAAGCGGCCAAAATCACGAGCGACCACTCGAGGGTAGTTAACACTGTACCAGAACCGGCCCCAAATAGCAGTAAGGTATTGCCTTCTAACATTTCATCTAGTTAATTCAAAAAGTATTAATATCATTGTTTTGAAAATATTAATATTAATCAATCATCTAATTTTAAATGGCGTTTACAATTAAAAGTAGTCTTCTCTCCATTCGATGACTTTTGCATTTCATTAATAAAGGCATCAAAATAATCACGTTTATTGTTTTGATCAAGTGTTTGTGCATGGTTGTCGTGTTCAGTTCTTAATAAATTGGTAGAAAAATATTACGTTATAATACATTATTATTATGTATGTTAATTAAATATAATGTGTGGAAATCTGTTTGAGTACATACTTCATCATTGTGCGGATCTCTTCGAGTATTACTTTAACTTTTCTTAGAGACGACGGCAATAGAAACTTCATGTTTCTGAACACAAAACCACCCAATTTGGGGAAAAATGCCAAAATGCCGGCCAAATTGAGGTTCGGGTCGGGCTTTAAGAACTCGTCGATCATCTTCTTTCTGGTGTCCGTATAATCGAAACGTCGGCCAAATGTCAGCGAATTTATGTTATTTGAGACACTAATCGGCAAAAGTGTCCGCAAATCAAACGCCTGTCCAATGCTTTTGTCGATCTCTTTAGACAAGTGATTGATTTCATCGATGATGTGGTCTTCCATTGAAGTCTTCCCAAAACCAAGATTTCTCAACTGATGCAAAGCAAACCTTCGCTGCTCTTTCCATACGTCTCCACTCATATTTCCAAAGCCTTAAAATATATGATAATTTATTGTAAATATTCGTGTAATTTATTTAAAATCAATATTGATGTCAATTACCCGATGGAAGTAAAGCAGTAAACAAACTATCCTTAGGTCGGGCTAATGCCGATTCATCAGAAAAGGCTTCTTTTATTGACGGCCAGTCATTTAATACGACTACTGGACACGAACCCATTTGAATGCTGCAATTAAATATAAATGTTATCATGATTAATTTTTACATATTAAAAATATATATTTAAAAACATACCCAAAAACTGGTCCATATTTTTTGGCCAATTGTACGAACACTTTGGAGGGCTCGCCCTTAAGAAAGGGTAGATAACCGACAAATGGCAGTCCCATAGGACCCGGCGGTAACTTTTTCCGCATCTCATATTCACTGTATATTTGTTTTGACACAAAATATGTGAATAAAGATATTAACAAAATTAATGCATTTGAATAAATCCAATAAATCACTGGTAATAACATATTGACTAAAAAATATTTTACTATATTAATGAATACAGAAAACTTTTTATAATGTGTTTATAAAGTTGTTATGAATGTTGAGTATAATAGTGAACCACTTATATACTGGTCATTTAATAATGCACGCAAAGCACTACAATAAAAGCTGTGCTAAATTCCTGTACACTATTTGCAGAATGTATTCAATTTTTCACGTCGCCCTTAATGTACTAAAGTAACTAAACCACTATCATCATGGTTAGATTGATGTTTACTATACCGGTAACGTGTATTCTATATTAATATATCTTATAACGTGTAGTCTATAAGCTGTTAGCCTTCAAAAGTTTTATATCTATAATTTTCAATTAAATTGAGAAATAATAGTGTTTTTAATATTAATACTGTATAAACAATTAGATAAATATTTAGATTACTATTTTCTATGATGACAAAATTTTTAAAGTCTATAATTTACAAAAACATATTTGTAAATTAATTAATAAAATATATATTTTTCATTATAACTTTTTGATTCAACTGTATTAAGTTATAATAACAATTTCATAGGTAATAATATTATATTAATAAAATACTTAACAAGACGCTATAAACTTAAAGTTATTGGGTCAAAATTTGATTATATAGTAGTATAGAAATAAATAATTTTATTAAATTATAATATATATTTTACAATAATAAATTTGTTTAAATTTTACACTAATAAAATTTCAAGGTTCCATTTTTAAGTATAAGTACAATAATATCAATTTAATTGCTAATAATTTTTATTTGATTGTTTTCATTATAATTGTAAATTCAATTTTTAATAGAGTTAACAAATTATAGATTAATAAAAAAAAATCTCTATAGATAATTATAATGATATAATTGGTTAATTATAATTGAAAAATTGAATTAAGTATAATATGATACTAATTATGAAGTCGTCTAATGAAAGTAATGTTAGGATTGTGTTTCGGAGCGATTGAGAACTCGAAATTGTATTCAAGCTTTCGATCGGTTTTATGATTGGCTTTAATTTCGTATTTCTGAAGCAAAGAACTCAGATATAGAAACGTTTCGACCACTCCTAAGATCTCTCCCGGACACGACCTCTTCCCTAATGCACACAACATATCATTAATAGTTAACACATTATTCAGTATTCAAATCATTACAAACCGATTGAAAATGGGATCAAATGCTCGGGTTTTTTAAATGTCTTGAGATCTTTGCTGAGAAGTCTTTCGGGTCTGAATTCCGTCGGATTTTCCCATAGGTTTGGGTCGTTATCAATGGCCCAGAAGTTAACTAAAATTTGAGTGTCTTTTGGTATTTTGAATCCTGAGATTACCATATCTTTGGACGCACTGAAAGTTAAAAGAAATGTTTATATAATTATTAGAGAGAGAGAGAGAGAGAGAGAGAGAGTTTGCTGAGAAGTCTTTCGGGTCTGAATTCCGTCGGATTGTAATGATTTGAATACTGAATAATGTGTTAACTATTAATGATATGTTGTGTGCATTAGGGAAGAGGTCGTGTCCGGGAGAGAGTAAAAAGTAATACCATCGTGGTAAATTAATTGTTGATATAGTCCTAAACCTCCACACTTCCCACATGAATGCCTGCAAATATGGCATTTGGTTTCTATCAGAAAATTTAGGGTTCCTTTCATTGCCAATCACTTCATCGATCTCTTTATGGATGTGTCGTTGCATTAATGGATTGATGGCCAGAATAGCGACGGCCCACTCGACGGTTTGCATTATAGCTAAGGATCCGCCAGCGATTAGATTCAGAGTATTTCCTTCAAGCATTTTATCTACAATTATATCAATCAATGACTTTAATAACCATTTAAATAACATAATAATAAGATTACACCTACAATTAAATGCAATTTTATCACCATGCTTATCATTTTGAATTTCATCGATATAGGCGTCCAAATAATCTCTTTTATTATTTTGGTCAAATGTTTTTACATGTGTAAGCTAAAGTCTGGACTTATAATTAATTTGGTAATAAAGTTAATATTATTGTAAATAATTAATATTTATGGACTATTATCGACACTGCCGTAAGTGAAACGGGAATTGGACAGCTTATCCAAATCCGACAAGAAATGGCATGTATTTAAATAGGAATCGTAGCAAAACGGGGTAAAAGGCGAACAACCCTGTTAAATTAAAACTCGGGTCCAGTTTGAGAAAGTCATCGATCGCTTGCTTTTTGCTGTCCGTATAATCGAAACGTCGGCCGAAGTTAAAGGAATTGACATTATTTGAGACACTGAACGGCATATGTCAAGACTACAGTTGTAAGACAGGGAGAAAGCGCAGGTTGTGAACTGTGTATACTAACTAGAGAAGCTACTACACCAGGAGGTAACTCAAGAATGGCTTTGGTTCTAAAAAATTAAGTACATTAGTAAACCGTTTTTGCTCTTTCCAGGCGTCGCCGCTAATCGATGCAAACCCTGAAGAAGTGGTCGATTGTATTCATAACTGATTTTGAGTATAATATTAATAACAAATACCCGCAGGAAATGCAGTGTTAAAGAAGTTGTCTTTAGGCCGATATAGAGCCGTCTCGTCATGAAATGTCTGTTTGATTGACGGCCAGTCATTGAGAACCACCACCGGATACGAACCCATTTGCAGGCTTTTAATGCAAAAAATTTAATTTATTAATTTTGTTTGTTGTAAAAAACAATTTTATGAAAACATACCCAAAAACTGGTCCATATTTTTTAGCCAATTGTACGAATTTTTTGGGCGCTTCGCTCCTAACAAATGGTAGATAACCGACAAATGGCAGTCCCAGAGGACCCGGCGGTAACTTTTTCCGCATCTCATATTCACTATATATTTGTTTTGACACAATATATGTGAATAAAGAAATCAATATTATTAAAGCGTTTGAATAAATCCAATAAATCACTGGTAATAAAAACATTATTATTTTTATTATAATTAAAACTTATTATATTTGAGTTAAATCTTGTAAAAATTATTATGATTTATACAGTGTTTTTGAGCCGCTTTTTATATAATAATAAATGAAATGCACTTAACATGGTAAATTTAATAACCAATAACTATTTTACTAGCTATATTATAATAACATTAAGGACAATTTTACAATTTGTAAAATCTATAAAATCCACTTGATGCACTTCTGTTATCGTTACAAAATAACTGATTATTAATTAAATAATAATTTAATAAACCATAGATTAGGCAGAATTTGTTTTCAATATTTATTTCGTAATCAATTCCACCACTTATTCTGTGTTATATTAAAATTATGCTTCAAAACTACGGTATATGATTTATCATAACATGCACTTTACATTCTGATAAAACTACTCGTACTCTAAATAATGTTGATAATTACATGTCAAATTAACAAATTGTGTAATTAGTTTGCGCACTTACACTCTATGTATTACACAATTAATACAAATGTATTACCGTAATAATAATTTTAGTGTTAATTAAATTAAATTTTAATAAAGTTAAAAATTATTTATCCAATACTTAACAGTAATGTAAGTTTATTTTAAATTAAATGATCTTATTATTAAAAAACACAATATTTTTATCAATTAATACACAAAAAAAAGTTTGTATTAAAATTATGATTCAACAGAAAAATCCCATAAAAGTGGGCAAAAGTGGCACTCAATGTGCACTTTGAGATTCATTGGCATTCATTGCGCGTACTTTCCAACCGGTGATGGCTTCCGACAGTGAAAATCGGTTCCCAAATATCGTTAAACTCTTGAGATTAAAACCTTTCGGACATTTGGCAACGAAAGCCTCAAAAGCGTCCTCCGAAGCGCTGATACCACCGATCAGATGAACGGTACGGATGTGTTGGAGTTTCAGCAGCGCTTCCAACGCAAAGGTGGTTATCATTACGTTAGTGAGTGATAGGCGTTGAATGTGTGGTAAATTCGATGATATACTGGCAAAGAATGGGTCGTAGATATAGGGCTCCGATAGGTGTAGATCTAAATGCGTTAACCGAAACAAAGTCTTGAGCCAATCACTGGTCAGTTTGGTCTCTACGGGCAAAGAGACAGTCATTTGCAGCCGTTTTAAACCAGTAAAACATGTGCTGATTGTGGGAAACATGTGTCCACTAAACGGCTGATAAATACAGAGCCGAAGACTCTTGAGTTGCGGACATTTGAGACCAATTGCCGACAAAAAGGGTTCAGAATTCTTATACAACTCTAACCGGAGATCAGTTAATGTCTTCATTCGCGACAAACCATCGCTCAGTCTATTAACGATGTCTTCATTGATATCGCAATACAAGTAAAATCCAAATGTCTTTAAATGGCTTTTATAGAGATCTACCACTAAATCAAATGCAATGAAATCATTGTCTGTTTCCATCACAACAAACTGTATGTCTTGGAGTCGTTTGAATTGATGCCCATTTTGGCCATCGATGACAAACGATGACAATCGCGAGAAATTGCAGATAATATAAAATGATTGCAAATTAAGGCATGATTTGAGCCAATCATAGATCATATAATTGGGAATACAGTTAGACCTCGACGTCAGATATAGTGCTAATTGTCTTCGACTCGATTTCAACTCAAATCTAATTGTTTTCAATTGTTTGCCAAACTTTGCGAAACACTTGTCAACGGTTCCGATACTAATGTCTGTGAAGTCGATGAATATGTCATTCAAATGATGGCAATGTTTGACAATTAATGACATTAACCACTCATTCATGTGATTGTTGTTGTCTTTACAATAGGAAACACGTGTAATGTTTGTACACTTTATGACAATTAACTCAAGTATTTGCATATCATTTGCAATCAATTGTTTGATGTCTTCACCGATAATGAGCTCCGATTGTGTGGTGAATACCAATCGATGCCATTGTCTTGAAATGCATTCATATCTGAATCGCTCGAAGAATGTGAGGAAAGACAACACGTGTTGACACAATTGGTCACCAAATCTGTCGAAAGAGTCTTTGCCAACGATTTGAGACATCGTTTGACTCTTGAGATGAATAATTGTGGACACAATCGATGGATAAATGGTTTGCAAAACGTGTTTGTCATTCAAATTAAGACCAATTGTTTTGATTCAAAACTTTTGCCACATTTTTCTCATTTAAACGCTTTATTTGCCATAAAATCCATCCAAACATTACATTCAATGCATTTTTGCGCAAAATTCAAACACATTTTTAACAAATATTACATTGAATTTCAAAATATATTATTTTAATTATCAATTTATATCACATAAATTGTCATAAATCACATGTCAAATAAAATTTAAATCATTTAATAGTTAATTAATTATGTAATCATATATTTTATTAAAAACTTATTAATCAACTTTTAATGTTTTACAATTAAATTCATGTTTGAAATTTTTGTTTAATTTGTTTATATAGGAAAAACACATAAATTATAATTATTTATTCTAATTAATAATTCTAACGCAAAAATTGAGTTTTGTTTATAATTTAAAAACAGTGAACGCAATCTGGACGGACCTAGTATCACTTCTAAAGCTTTGTAAGTTTAACATAGTGACCAATGCGCCTGCTCACTTTTACAGTATCCGACTTTAAATTCGCATATTCTTCATATATTTATTTTAACATAGTGACCAATGCGCCTGCTCACTTTTACAGTATCTTACCTTAAATTCGCATATTCTTTCTATATTTAATAATATAGCAAATGATGTGTTATTTGTTATATTTATGAGAATAAGTTTGTATCGTATGGCAGTGTACGCAATCTGGACGGACTTAGTATCACTTCTATAGCTTTGTAAATTTAACATAGTGACCAATGCGCCTGCTCACTTTTACAGTATCTGACCTTAAATTCGCATATTCTTTATATATTTAATAATATAGCAAATGATGTGTTATTTGTTATATTTATGAGAATGAGTTTGTATCGTATGGCAGTGTACGCAATCTGGACGGACCTAGTATCACTTCTAAAGCTTTGTAAGTTTAACATAGTGACCAATGCGCCTGCTCACTTTTACAGTATCCGACTTTAAATTCGCATATTCTTCATATATTTAATAATTTAGCAAATGATGTGTTATTAGTTATGTTTATGAGAATGAGTTTGTATAGTGACCAATGCGCCTGCTCACTTTTACAGTATCTTACCTTAAATTCGCATATTCTTTCTATATTTAATAATATAGCAAATCATGTGTTATTTGTTATATTTATTAGAATAAGTTTGTATCGTATGGCAGTGTACGCAATCTGGACGGACTTAGTATCACTTCTATAGCTTTGTAAGTTTAACATAGTGACCAATGCGTCTGCTTACTTTTACAGTATCTGACGTGAACTTATCAAATTTTCTTTTCATTTGAAAATTTAGCAAATGGTACTGTTAAATGCATTTTAATATTTATTAACTCAATGACTACTATAGCTAAAAATGTGCCGCGCCTTTTTTGTAGCCGTGATGGTCACCCGATGTTTGGTCACTTATCGGGAGTGTTTAAACTGGTTCGAGACTCCGATACCAAACATGTTAGTTGAAGATATAACTGTATGTTCATAGAGTAGAGATGCCGTGAATAGACTATTGAGAATCACTCAGAGATATTTAGAAACAGCTATCGATTCAATTAACCGTGTTTTATATTATTTTAATGGTAAAAAAGTTTTTCAAAAAAATAATTTTAAAAATAAAAACACAATTAAATTTTAATAACAAGGGGTATAAATCTATACCCACACTGCCTTTAACCCGCATATACCCATCATTTCTAATGCCTGTGTTAGAAATGGCAGATGTCGTCAAATGGGGAGTGTCTTAAGATTTTGGTCTTAAAATCAAATTTAATCTACAATTAAGAAATTGAAAAATTGGTGACACAATGGGGGATAATAGATGATTGTTGCGGTGAATAGACCGCTGATCAAAGTTCATTATCTTAAGAATAAAATAGATTTGAATTTTATCACTTCCAAACGACATTTCATTGTATAAACTGTACCATAATATATAACATTCCCAGGTATACAATGAATGTTAAATACAGTAACTAAATAGTTTTCTTATTATATTATTATTTCATTAATGATCATGATTTATTATCAAAGCATCGTATTTTAACTATAGTAACTATTTTAGCGGTTAATAGCATTAGACTAAGAGTTGGTATGTCCACCGATCATACCATTAGGGTCATTTTAGCCAACTTTTATTTTAACTATACATAACTATTTGAGGGATAACTAACTATAACAACTATTAACCAACTATTTGACCAATATGTGGAAAAATGGCCTAATTTTACTAAAATTTGACAAAATAAATATCAAAATTGCTCTATAATTTTAAAGAATTAAAATCTTGTTAAAATTGTCTGTAAATAATATAATATCTTTAATAAACTAGTTTGATTGACAAATATTCTTTTATACTATTGTCATGTTGTAAACAATGCACACTATAAAACATAGTAAAAATATTAAGATAGTTTACGTAATTATAACTAACTTTTAGACGTAAATTTTTATAAATAACACCGTTATTAATGCATAATAGATCATGTTGTAGAATCATTATTGAAAATTTTTATCAAAATATCAAGATTTTATCAAAAATAAACAACTAATTAAGCAACTATTTGACCCTTTTTTTTATTAACTATTAGGATTTATATGAAGTTATACGGGCTAAATGTATAATTATTTGTAAATATTTTATTCCTAAGATAATAAACTTTGATCAGCGGTCTATTCACTGCACTAATAATCTATTATCCCCCATTGTGTCACCAATTTTTCAATTTTTTAATTGAAGATTAAACTTGATTTTAAGGCCAAACACTGAAGACACCCCCGATTTGATGACATCTGCCATTTTTAATACCATTTCTCTCACACACATTAGAAATGATTGGTATCTGTGGTAATCAGTAGGGGGTATATCAGGGTTGATGGCAGTGTGGGTATAGTTTAAAAAATGTATAGATTAATTGTAATAATAATTAACCATGATTATAATCCTGATCAATATTACAAATTTTATATTCAAAACAATACGCACACCTATATTAATTTTTAATTTAATTTAATTTTTTAAAATATAATTAATTTTAAACAAACTAATTTTTAATAAATATATTATGTTTATTAAAAATAGTTTAAAAATTTAATTCATTGTAATATTATTTTAATTATTTGTGTCTTTTAGTGATAATAAAAACCGGATTGTGTTTAGGAGTGATTGAGAACTGAAACTCGTATTCAAGCTTTTGATCGGTTTTATGGTTGGCTTTGATGTCGTATTTCTGAAGCAAAGAACTCAGATATAGAAACACTTCCACAACTCCTAAGCCCTCTCCCGGACACGACCTCTTCCCTAATGCACAACACCTTTGCATTAGTCAACACATTATTATCATTTCAATCAATACATACCGTATGAAAATGGGATCAAATGTTCGGGTTTTTTGAAAGTTTTCATATCCTCACTGAGAAACCTTTCGGGTTTGAATTCCGATGGATTTTCCCATAGATTTGGGTCGTTATCAATGGCCCAGAAGTTGGCCATTATTTGAGTATCTTTTGGTATTTTGAATCCTGAGATTACCATATCTTTGGACGCACTGAATGTTACAAACAGTAATATAATTAAAGAGAGAGAGAGAGAGAGAGAGAGAGAGAGAGGAGTCCTAAGTTTGCCGATNAGAGAGAGAGAGAGAGAGAGAGAGAGAGAGAGAGAGATTGTAAAAATTAATACCATCTTTGTAGATTAATTGGTAATAATGTCCTGAACCTCCAAACCTCATACATGAATGCCTGCAAATATGGCATTTGGTTTCTATCGGCAAACTTAGGACTCCTCTCTTTGCCAATCACTTCATCGATCTCTTTGTGTATCTGTTGTTGTATTCCTGGATTAGTGGCCAAAATCAATAGCGACCACTCGAGGGTCAGCAATACAGTTGCACCTCCGGCACCAAATAGCAAGAAACTGTTCCCCACCAGCATATCATCTATTAATAATAGTACAATAAATTATTGTTTTAATCGATTATTTAAATTATTTATTGCTATATTATAAAATAACTATACTTACAATTAAATGTAGTATTTTTACTATTTTCGAACTTTTTCATTTCCCTTATAAAGGCGTCCAAATAATCTCTATTTTGATTGTGATTAAAAGTTTTCACATGTGTTTCGTATTCAGATCTGAATATAATAACAATGTTTAAAACAATCATATTAATTGTAAAAAATTTAATTTAAAAAAATACCTAATAATATCTGTCACTGCCTTAACCTTATTTTTAAAAATCCTGAGCGATGAAGGCAATAGGAATGGCAGATATTTAAATATGAATCGGACTAAAACGGGGTAAAATGCAAATAACCCTGTTAAGTTAATGTTTGGATCCAGTGTCAGGAACTCATCGATCGCTTTCTTTCTGCTGTCCGTATACTCGAAACGTCGGCCAAAGTTAAGGGAATTGATATTATTTAAGACACTAATCGGGAATATAGTCCTGAACTCAATTTCCTGCCCCTCTTTGGTGTCCAAGAGTTGTGACAAATGATTGATTTCATCGATGATGTGGTCTTCCATCGATGTCTTCCCGAAACCAAGATTTCTTAACTGATGTAAAGTAAACCTTCTTTGCTCTTTCCATTCATCACCACTTATTGATACAAATCCTGAGGTATTAAGTTGTATAATAAGTGCCATGATTATGATAAATATGAAATACCCTGATATAATGCTGAGTTAAATAAGTTGTCTTTAGACCGATATAGAGCCGTATCGTCAGAAAGTGCCTCTTTTATTGACGGCCAGTCATTGAGAACCACCACCGGATACGAACCCATTTGTAGACTTTAAATGCATAAATTACATGATTATAGAAATGCATTGTAAAACAAATTAATGAAAGCAAACCCAAAAACTGGTCCGTATTTTTTGGCCAATTGTACGAACACTCTGGAGGGCTCGCCCTTAAGAAAAGGCATATAACCGACAAATGGCAGTCCCAGAGGACCCGGCGGTAACTTTTTACGCATTTCATATTCACTATATATTTGTTTTGACACAAAATATACGAATAAAGATATTAACAAAATTATAGCGTTTGAGTAAAGCCAATAAACCACTGCCAATATAGACATTATTATTACTAAATATTATTAATTATATTTGAAATCAAAGCTATTTACTTATGCAGAGATTTGATTTATAATTATTACATGAATTTGAACAGCATTTATATACTGATAAAATATTTGCTAAATTGATAACTAAATTAATAAATGTATTGTTATTTACCCTAATGTAAATTTAAACACATTTAATAGATGTAAAATTGATTCAACTTTATGTTACAAATAAACTGACAACTTTATATGAACTCAATAAATTAAACATTTATTATTAATAGTATTTGAGTTAACTATAAGTTAACTATGAGATAACTATGAGTTATTTATTTAATATTTTACATAAGGGGTGATTCGCAAATTACGTTCGCACTCGGGGGGAGGGGGGGGGTCGGCCAATGCGAACTTTTGCGAACGAGGGGAGGGGTGGTGTTAGGGACATGCGAACGTAATATTTTTTTAAATGGCTACATGCGAACAATTGCGAACAAGGGGGAGGGAGGGGGTCTAGATTTCTTAAAAAGTGCGAACGTAATTTGCGAATCACCCCTAAACAATCGTTATCTTTATCACTAATTATTGTATTAATATTAGATAAAAACTTTACATTTATACATTGATTGATTGATATACATTGATATATGATTGATTGATTGATTGTATGTTTTATTATTTTCCAGTAAAACTTTACGTTCATATAATATGGCTATCATATTTAATTAAAGTAAAATATTAAAATTTTCAATAAATGTTCATGAAATTATTTGAGATAATAAAGTAATTTTAACTTTATATTCAAACCCAATTTGAAAGTACAGTACATAGGATTAAAATGAAAATTATTGGAATTTTTTTTAAATTTTGGATTTTGATGAATGCAATCTTAAATTTGCAGTTTATTCAAACTGAACTATTTTTAATAATTAATTATATTTAATTTGTGTATAAAAGTAATGCTTTAAAAATGCAATAATTAATTAAATTGTTATTATAATACATACATACATGTATACATGTATAACGATATATTTGTAAGATAATTTGTAAACTTAAAACTTCTTAAATCAAATCAACTAACGTTAATAAGTCAAATTAAAATTTGTATTAATTATTAAGTTATTTAATTTACTCTTTTAGTGATATTGAAAACAGGATTGTGTTTAGGAGTGATTGAGAACTGAAACTCGTATTCAAGCTTTCGATCGGTTTTATGGTTGGCTTTGATGTCGTATTTCTGAAGCAAAGAACTCAGATATAGAAACACTTCCACAACTCCTAAGCCCTCTCCCGGACACGACCTCTTCCCTAATCGACACAAACATTACAACATTGTTATCACTATTTTATTATTATTTGAATTAAAATCTATACAAACCGTATGAAAATGGGATCAAATGCTCGGGTTTTTTGAAAGTTTTCATATCCTCACTGAGAAACCTTTCGGGTCTGAATTCGGATGGATTTTCCCATAGATTTGTGTCGTTATCAATGGCCCAAAAGTTGGCCATTATTTGAGTGTCTTTTGGTATTTTGAATCCTGAGATTACCATATCTTTAGACGCACTGAAAGTTATCACAAATTATTATATAATTAGAGAGAGAGAGAGATTGTAAAAACTAATACCATCGTGGTAAATTAATTGGTATTAATGTCCTAAACCTCCAAACTTCATACATAAATGCCTGCAAATATGGCATTTGATTTTTGTCAGAAGTTTTAGGACTCCTTTCTTTGCCAATCACTTCATCGATCTCTTTGTGAATCTGTTGTTGTATTTGTGGATTAGTGGCCAAAATCAATAGCGCCCACTCCAGGCTCTGTAATATAGTGGAACCTCCCGCACCGATTAGCAAGAAGCTATTTCCCTCCAGCATATCATCTAAAAGTAAATAAATAATAGTTTAAATTATCATTTAAATAGCATAATTTACTGTTACTAATACAATATACTAATACTCACAATTAAATGTTGTTGTTTTACCACCTTGGCCATTTTCAAACTTTTGCATTTCACAAATAAAAGCGTCCAAATAATCCCTATTATTGTTTTTATCAATAGTTTTCACATGTGTTTTGTATTCAGATCTGAATGTAATCACAATTTTTAAAACATATTATTTAATTGTAATTAAAAGTTAATTTATAATTATAATTTATACCTGATAATATCTGTCACTGCCTTCACCTTATCCTTAACAATCCGTAGAGATGAAGGCATAATAAATGGCAGATATTTATATATGAATCGAGTCACCACGGGGTAAAATGCGAATAACCCTGTTAAGTTAAAATTAGGGTCCAGTATCAGGAACTCCTCGAGAACTTTTCCTCTGCTGTCCGTATACTCGAAACGTCGGCCAAAGTTAAGGGAATTGATATTATTTGAGACACTAATCGGGAATATAGTCCTGAACTCAATTTCCTGCCCCTCTTTGGTGTCCAAGAGTTGTGACAAATGATTGATCTCATCGATGATGTGGTCCTCCATTGAACTCTTCCCAAAACCAAGATTTCTTAACTGATGTAAAGTAAATCTTTTCTGTTCTTTCCATTCGTCACCACTTATTGCTTCAAATCCTAAATAATTTATATGTTTTGTTAATTTATATGTTCACTCATATGATTGAGATTAATAGCAAATACCCGCAGGAAGTGCTGAGTTAAAGAAGTTGTCTTTAGGCCGATATAGAGCCGTATCGTCAGAAAGTGCCTCTTTTATTGACGGCCAGTCATTGAGAACCACTACTGGAGAGCAACCCATTTGAATGCTTTTATTTCGAAAATTAACATTATTGATTGTGATATAAAATTAATTTTTATAAAAACAAACCCAAAAACTGGTCCATATTTTTTGGCCAATTGTACGAACACTCTGGAGGGCTCGCCCTTAAGAAAGGGTAGATAACCGACAAATGGTAGTCCCATAGGACCCGGCGGTAACTTTTTCCGCATTTCATATTCACTATATATTTGTTTTGACACAATATATGTGAATAAAGATATCAATATAATTAATGCATTTGAATAAATCCAATAAATCACTGGTAATAAAAACATTATAATTATTACTAATACAGTTAAATACTGTTAAATAAATATTACAAATAAATAATTTATAATGTAATTTTATTTATTCTCAAAACTATGTTGGTGAAGATTTTTAATTTTTGAACATATTAGCATCGTTTAATGCTTTTATATCCTAAAATATAAACTATTGATAATTTTAATTATGACGTGAAAATAATCAATATAACTACAGTATAATTATAGCTGTCCAAACTTTGCAAAGTTTCTCTCTCTCTCTCTCTCTCTCTCTCTCTCTCTCTCNTCGAAAACAATTAATGATAATTATATTTTGTTTAATTAGTAATTAATAATTACGTAAATTGTAATTTATATCAATAAATAAGCTAATTTCAATTACCATAAATATGCGCATAATATGAATTCTATTCAGCTATTACTATAAACAATGTTACTTCAAGGTAACAAATTGTTTATTAAATCTGTATATCCAAATCACTTTTATTATTTTTAGTGAAATCCTAATATAGTTGCATTGGTCTTTATGCGCATATTTATGGTAATTGAAATTAGCTTATTTATTGATATAAATTACAATTTACGTAATTATTAATTACTAATTAAACAAAATATAATTATCATTAATTGTTTTCGATTATGCAATATGACTAGATAAATTATAAATTCAATTTACTTTTTATTTGCAAATTAAAAATATAATAAATATTTTTATTATTGAATATAGGTACTGTACCTACATGTATGTTAATATTAAGTTATATAAGTTGTCTTTAGCTGACACTCAAACTGGCAGTCAGAGTGAGATATTTTCAATGATTTAATAGTAGGTCATTCAGCATTTTAATAGCAATTATACAATTAGTCAATACATAGATAAAAATAATGACAGCAATGCTAAACGTATAGAAAATGTCTTACAAGTGGTCAGTCTGACTGTCAGTGTCATTATTTCGCGCAACATTTTAACTAATTTTAAAATGAATGAATTGAATGCAACGATATACTCAATTTTACGGTAACATCGATCACATCATCTTTACATTGTTTATATTTTTATAAACAATTTTTTCACGGTCGACAATTCTTCGGTCAATTTGCAGTGCATATACATTGTGTGTATAGTTCACCTTGAAATTTGGCTGCTTTATTTGATACCAAGTACTTTACATCGTGATAAAATTATATATACAGTATAAAAGTATATTAAATAATCTTGATGTAGAATAGTCTTGATGTAGCATAATCTTGATGTAGAATAATTTTTGACATAATAACACATATTAACTTAATTAGTGTTTGATTAAACACACTTTATATGAGTTACACTTTATATGAATTACAAATATATAACAAAAATGACAATAAAACAAATATTTGAGTTTTATGTTCAATATATCCATTAAGATTTTAATGCAAGCCATAAAATGTTAATACATTTTACATCGCTTAATAAATATTGTCTTAACATGATCAAGTTTTTGATAAAATTAATTATAAACCAAAATAACAGTTATCTACAACTACTGAATCGGGCAAACAATCACTGCAAACCTGGTGGACAGTAACTAATAGGTATTTTGTGACCTTAACTTCCATACAATTTAAGCAAACTATTTTCCAATCTTATCAAGAGCACTATTTATTTAACAATTAGCAAAAATAAACAAAAACAACACAATTGTAAAACATATTTATTGAATAATAATGTAAAATATATAAATTGAATATCGATATAATGAACAGCAATCGTGTATTGTCTGTATGGATGGCCTGTGATTGCCATCATTGGGCTAATAGAGGGAAACTAATTTTGCGGGGATTGTTGACCACTCCCTTCACGGGAATACCCCGTTTCGGGTAATGAGGAATAGTCTTCTCAACCATTGTTACGCAATCAATGATCGGACAGACGCTAAGACATAGCGTACAACCCGTGCAGTCGTCAGTAACGGTCGGCAAATGGGTTTCGGCATTAAAAGTGATCGCCTGATAGCCCGAGTCATTGCAAGTCATGTAACATTTGCCACAATTTATGCACATATCCTGTCGTACAGTAAAAACAATAAATTTTGTTTAATACTTTAAAAGTTTTATTATATTAATTAAGATATCAATTTCAATGTCCCGACGATTACCTGATCAATGAGCGCCACTTTCTGTAACTTTGTATCCAAATCAGCAAATGTCCCGATTCTTGGCAGAGATAATCCGATCAAATCCTGTAATTAATAATTTAATTTCAAAACAGACTAAAAAACAAATTAAATTTTGAAATCACATTAATTTTCATCACATCTCCCGTCGGTTTGTTTATCGGTCTCTCTTTGGGAGGCTTTAAGTCATCCCTCAATAAATTAGACTTGAGTTTCAAATCCACAATCTGTTGCTCTCGTTGTGTCTTATAGGGACCAAAATCGGGTAATTTCTGGTCAAACTCGTGAATTGGTTTTCCCTTCTGGTGTCGGGGCGTCGGCGGCGACTGTCCGTTCCAGTCGGACATCTCAGCCACACTTCTCACATATAGAGACGTCTTGAGTCCCGTTATATAGTCATCAATGACTGTGAAGTCTTGGTTTTGGACAGAACTGCAAATCTGGTAACAAATACAGACATCATATCAGTTAATGGACACCAAATATGAGCAAAATTGCCTATACCTGTAAGACAGAAGCGCCGGCGTATATGAACTGTAGGCCCGCGTCGGCCGAATCGATACCACCCGTCGCTAATACTGGGAAACCGGGCAAAGCTCTGGCGATGGCCGACACGGCTCTCAGCGCTTGCGGTCGGATAGCATTGCCGGACACTCCGCCATAAGTAGTCCGCTTTTGTATGCCTACCGCTGGCCAGGGGGTGCCGTTTCCTTTCAGGTCCATCAGACCCGACACAGTGTTAGTGGCCGTCACTCCATCCGCTTTTCCTGTCATAAAATACATTTGAATATAACATTTATTTAATTCATTATGTTTTAAAATGCATACCCTGTTTAGCGGCGACAGCGATGTCTACAATATCGGTCACGTTTGGCGTCAGTTTGGCAAAGAAGGGTATTGTCACCGCTTCCCGAACCCAAAGACATATGTTTCGCACCAATTCTGGATCCTAACCATTGAAAGTCAAACACAAATTAAACATTTATATCAATATAAAAATTCAATAACTATACGGTATAGTCTATACCTGTCCACACGCCAAACCCATACCCCTCTCACCCATACCGTGTGGGCTAAATACACAAAAATATACATTAATAAATATTCCCTTATAATAAACCATCACAATTGAAATACCAGCTAAGATTAAGCTCAATCGCATCGGCACCGGCCGCCTGTGCTCTTCGGGCCAACTCAAGCCAATCCTCTTTGACAAACGGAGCCATAATACTGGCGATGAGGATATTGTCGGGAAAATCCCTCTTCAGATCGGCGATGGTTTGGTACCAATACTCGCACGTCTTCTCACTGATCAGCTCTATGTTTAAGAAGGAACCCATTCCGGGGCCGTACATGTGGCCAGAGGTGGTGCCCCGCACTATACGAGGGGACACATTGGTCACCAGATCCTTGTCCAGACCGAACGTCTTGGTGAGCGCGAAAGCCCAGCCGGACTCAAACGCTCGCCGTATCATTGGTCCGCTTGTGGTCGGCGGAGCGCTCGCCAAACCAAACGGATTCTTAAACTTGAGTCCACACATCTCAACCGAGATGTCCACCAAATCTATTGCGGTGTAAAAGCGGGGCATTTCGGCCGCCATCGGCCCGACCGACACATTGTGTTTGTTTTGTATGTATTTATGCATATTATAAGCGGCAGTCTTGCCGTCGTTCACGGCCTCCACCGTAGTCTCGGACACACCGGCGATATCGCCGCCGGCGAACACCCACTCCTCGCTGGTGGCCATTGTCTTCTTGTCCACAATCGGCTGCCCGTATTTGGTGAGCGCCAACGGCTCCAAAGCCTCGACAACTGTCGGGTCAAACACTCCCGAACCGAAGGCTGAGATAACAAAGTCGGCCCTCAGTGTCACCGGTTGTTCGCTGTCTTCAACACAGTTCCCGCTGTCGTCCACTTCTGTGCGCAAGAACTCAATGGAAACGATGCGATCATTCTTGACGTTCAGCTTCTTTGGCGAAAGGAATGGCAGGAATTCGCACCTCTCCTCGCGAGCCAATTCCATCTGCCAAACAATACATGGGATTCAATAACATCTTAATTTAATGCAGCGATGACTTACCTCTTCGGGAACGGCTCTAATGTTAGTAAATCCGCGGCGGAAGATAACAAACACACGTTTGGCGCCGCATCTGAGGGCAGAAGTGGCGCAATCAAAGGCCGTATCGCCGGCGCCCAACACCAGCACATTGCCAAACAGCTCCGGCAGCTTAGCTCCGGTACTACATGAGCACATCCCTGGTTTACTGGCTGCGGACACGACCGGCAAAAAGTCTTTGGACGTATAAAAGCCATTGTCGGGCGTCAGACCGTCAAACATGTCCAGACGTTTTGCTTCGGGTAAACCGATGCCAACAAAAACGCATTCATAGTTGTGTTCAGTTCGCAGCGATCGGACGGTATAGTCGGCGCCGAGGGATCGGTTGGTCTCAATCTTAACGCCCAAATCACGCATTAAGTCGATCTCAAAAGCGACCACTTTGTACGGCAGCCGGTATTGCGGTATTTCGGCCGAACTCAGGCCACCAATGAATGGTCTCCTCTCCAAAACAGTCACGTCTTGATAGCCGAGTCGAGCCAGAAATGTGGCACAACTAATGCTGGCCGGACCGCAACCTATCAGCGCTATACGCGACTTATATGACTCCGGGAGGGCCTCTATGGGCGGCAAATGTGGTGATCGTATCTGCGATACATTCATCTCTTTGAACACCTGTTATGTAATGAAATTCAAAACGATTTTGCAATTAATTTGTTAACAAATTATTTTCATGTGTCTTATCAAATGCATACCTCTGTGGCAAACTGCTGCAGACCTCCGATATTGATGGGCCCCTCCTCTGTCGCGTACAGATTACAGCCGCCGACACACAGATCACTGGTCGGACACACCATTCCGCACGTCAGGCCCAACGGGTTGTCCGACAATATCTCTTTGGCCGCTCCGTAATAGTTCTGGTCATTCATTAAATCAATAATTATTCAAAAAATTAATTTAATTACAAAAATGCAACTTTTCATACCTTATTGGCGATCATCGATATGAATGCCTTAATATCGAGTTGTGTGGGGCACCCCTTCTGACAGGGGGCGTCGGCGCACTTGAGACATCGGGCCGCCTCCCGGAGCGCTCCCCTCTCGCTAAGTGTCGTGTGTTTTATGTCATCGAAATTATTCTTCAAACTAACGCACGACTAGTGATTAGAAAATGTGTTTTGCATTAATTTGCTATACATTTGAATGCATTGTGTTTTTTATTCTTACGTTACAATTCTTGTCGCGGTTTCTCTTCCAATGCTTTTTGTTGTTTTTGGTCTCAAAAGTGGGAACTATTTTCGCAAATTTGTTCACTTTTGGATTCAATGCCAACAGATTCTGTCATTTATTAACATTTTATTTAAGTTTTTATTATTATTTTTATGTTATTGTTTAAATTACATCATATGTTTTATTATCATGCCTAGTTTATAGTGGAGAGAGAGAGAGAGAGAGAGAGAGAGAGAGAGAGGCTTCAAATTTATATTAACTTATTTACTTAATTGTAATGTCTAATAGAGATAAGAAATGGAATATTAATTTCAACATGTTAAATTGCCTGTATTTAGTATGAAAATTACTAACTAAAGTATGTCGTATGATAATGACACCACTTATAATGTATTACAATGATAAAACTTTGTTTAAATGTTAACTATGCATGATTATTGCACATAATTTAAAATTAAAATGTAATTGATTATTTAAAATCGGAATATATAAAGTGCAATAAAATACAGTATATGTAAAACACATGCTATTTTACAGCACCTATTAAACAGTTAACAAGAATCCGAGAACTTGTGATAAAATATTCAATACAATCTATAGTATTGAATAGATTTTATGGCAACAAGAAACTTATGATTCTTAACGAAAAAGTTAGTAATCTATTGAGGAGTTCCTAAAAAATGCATTGAATTGATAAGAGACTGACTTATGAATTGGTTTTAAAATGTGCGGCAAATTGTAAAATCCCAACAGAATTGTGATTATGAAAGCGTTTCAAGGATTTTAATCATGATTTATGTCATTCGCCTCGACTGTCATGTGCTGTCGTTATAGATAATAGACTCCGATATAGAGTATACACATGTAGTGAGAAAAACGACATCAAAGAAAGTTTAAGAAAACTTTAACTCAAACTTTGAATTTAAAAAACACGAGAAATAGAGGAATAAGAAGAGAAAAACAACAAAAGAATAAACAAACAATATTTACCTCAATATCGGGAGTGTCTCTACTGATAGACATTGCTTTATTTGAGACTTTCAACACAATTTCAAATAAAATAAAATAATATTAAATCACAATAATATTAATTTTTCACAATTCACTTTATGTAATATCAGTTTCTATTACTTTAACAGTAATAAAGTTAGTGATGAGAGAGACGTTATATTGTGGGACAAAACTGATGATTGAAAAATGTGTTAAATATTTGTAATATCATATAAAACAAGGACTCATCGAAAACCTGAAACCAGTGACAAATTCAAGGATAATTACTGTGATTTACTGTCGATATGTTATTTGAATGTCAATTGATATTCTATACTGAATTCAACTAAATATACACAACAGTATAGCAAACACGAGAATCACTATTCAAACACACATTAAAATCTTTACATTAAATTTATATAAATATGAGATAACAGTAAAGTTTTACAACAATTTTGTTATACTTGTGAGAAAACTTTTGTTCATAATATTTTGCAACACATTTACATTTGAAAAAACTTTTTTATTAACTTGCGATGAATTTGCAAATAATGAAGTTGTGTTCAATTAAGAGATACTGTTTTCAGCTCATTGTTCATTAGCTTTAAAACGATTGCATTTGAATGAATCAATGAAATGGTGAGCAAAGTATCGCTACAAATGGTTGAGTGGAAAAATCAAGTCTTATGTTCAGTGAATATGAGATAACTGTGCGATAAATAGAGTATAAGATATGCTATATTCAGGTCCTCTCCAGACCTATAGATCCAAAGATCAGTCCATTGATGCAAACATTGAAAGTCTTTCATTCAAAACGAGTCACAAATGTTTAAATTTTATTCAATCAATAGTTTAAGTGTTTAATAAAAATGCTAAATAAATGTTTATGTAATATTTCAATAAAATGTAAACTTTATTACCAACTTTTATGCAAAATAAATAACTTTTACCACATTTTCAGTCATTTTTAAGTAGCTTTTGCTTTAAGAATCAATGCTTTATTAATAATTTCACAAATTAATAAATTTTTTAATATAAAATTGTTGGCATTTTCGTTATACAAGGGTATATAAAGTTTTGTAATGTTATTACAATTATTATTGAAATTCAAATTATATATAAAACGTTTTAAAAAGTTGTTTATTTAATCACTAAATCATTGATTGATTGTTAAATGTGTGGACAATATAATTATCTTTCAGTTAAGAAAAAATAGTCTTTAAAACAAAAAACTTAAACATTTAAAGGAATGAATGCGAGAAAGATAGGAGAGAGAGAGAGAGAGAGAGAGTCGAGGGGTTGCAGACCAGCCGTCACTCTTGGGGCCAACTCTATGGACTGTTTATAAGCTGAAGAATCTGCGAGAGTGTCATCAGACTTGAGGTGGAGTTGGCTGTGGAAGTAGAGCTGGTGTTCATGTGAGTCATATTCAAGTCTAGTCCCGAATCGGTGTCCTTTGCCTGTGGTTTGCATATCGTTAACAACTCTTCGTTTGGCATTTGGGACAACATTTGGCCGAACGAGTCGTCGTCCGAACCGAAGCCATCGTCGCTGTCGGCACTAATCACCACATTATTAGCCACACTATCACTCACTTTATTGGCCGAACAGTCGGTCATATCATTGGTCATAATATTGGCCACCGTTTGGGCCACAGAATCAATCGGTTGAACGGCCTTTGGCTCGAGTACTGTAAAGTCAATTTGAGAGCACATGTTATCAAACGAATCGCCAAACGCTTCCAGTCCTTAATCGCACGGCTTTTTCGTATCGACTAATTCACTGTCATTTGTATTGAACACAACACACACTTCGGGCTCATTGTCCACCGTATGAGACTCTGGATTATCACTTGACACCACTTCACACGCAATTGTCTTATTGTCAACGACTTTGTCAACACAATCGTCAAAGAAGTCATCGTCACCACCAAAACAGTCATCAAAATCGTCGACAATTGTTGGGCACGTATTGGTCACCACTGGTAGTGATGGCGGCGCCAACTGATCACTAACCACTGGCGCTGTCATCTGCACCACAAACTCATCGCTAAAGCGGTCGGGAAGTGTCACTGAGTGGTGATAATCGGGAAGCGTTTCAGTGATGTCTTCCTCCTCGTCGTCCTTCTCGTCCATCGCTGTCTTCCATATGTCTAACAGACTCTGATAGTCGACACTTTCGGTGGTCAACGGCTGCTGTGGTGTAGCGGCGGTCGTGCGGTCGCCACCGATGGACACAACTCTCTCTCTCTCTCTCTCTCTCTCGCATTCATTTCTTGAAATGTTTAAGTTTTTGGTGAACGGCTTGACGTTCGTTGCGCTGCTTTGCGCTCTTTGTCGCGGCCCTCCTGAAGCTGATCCGCGGCCTCAACAGTGACCTCTTGAGGCTTTGGCTTCGTCTTCGCGGCGGTCTTCTCTGCGCCAGATTTGGTCGCTGTCTTCGCCGCCACAGCGGCCGCCGGCGCCGCAGTCTTTGTCTCTGTCTTCGGTGTCGTCTTCTTGGGGTCAGCGCTTCCGATGGCAGAACCGGTGCCCGAAGAGATCACTTTGGATCCACCCGTAGACGACCCGCCAGTCGCTGATCCCATTGATGACGAGCCGCCCTTTGAAGTCGATTGGACTGATGTGACAGAGGTCTGGGATGTGGTGCTCTTCGGGTCCTTCTTCTCGGTCTTCGGGTCCTTCTTAGAGGTCTTCGACGCCGTCGAGGCTTCGGATGACTTGTCGTCGAGTTTGAGAGTTTTGCCGCTCTCTTCGGACTTCTTTCCTCCTCCACAACAGTTACTTCCCATTGTGTTAGTGTTGTTGTGGTTGTGATGAGTAGTGGTGTTGTTGTGGATGTAATGTCGGATGTGTTAAAGTGATGGTACGAAGAGTTAACTCACAAGTGATGAGACAATCAATGCATGGATTGAGCGCTCATTCAATGCATTCAAATGCCATTCAAAGCAAGCATTGGTTGTATTCAACACTCACTACAGGTTTGCCTTAAGTTATAACTTATGAGCGCTTTATTTGAATGCAATACTCAATGCTCTCAATAAAGCGCTCATAAGTTATAACTTAAGGCAAACCTGTAGTGAGTGTTGAATACAACCAATGCTTGCTTTGAATGGCATTTGAATGCATTGAATGATCGCTCAATCCATGCATTGATTGTCTCATCATTTGTGAGATAACTCTTCGTACCATCACTTCAACACATCCGACACCACTACTCATCGCAACCACAACAACACCACTCGTCAGACATCATGTCATTCTTCGACAGACTCCGGACGGGTGTCCAACACATTGAACAAGAAGTGAAACAATTGAAACAAATGACTGATTACTCGTATCAGAGGACTGCGGATCAGTTGGCCGAAGACATCGCCAAAGCCAAGCAGTTTGACTCAAACGTCAGGACCACATATGTATGTCTCTATTATCACCAATCAATTGATCCACACATAGCCCAAAACATTGTTAATCATGTGATTGTCTTGTTTTACCACGGATTAGGTGGAAGTGACACAACTGTATAACACAATCCGTGGGGCGGATCAGCCGCTCAGTGATGTCCGCAACCGAATCGATGCGCTGAAGAGTCAACTCATTGACATCGAAGACAACTCTGGGATCAAACGATACGGTTATCAGCCGTTCGCCGAACAGTATTCAGAAGAAGACGACAACGTCTTTGTAGACGAGAGCGACGGTCACAGCGGACGCCAATTGACGGCCACTTACTGTACGACTGTCAGCGCCGCCGACGAGGAGTCCAACGACGAGAACACTGTCAATCCGAAGAGTTTACTGGAAAGTGACGACAAGATTGGCCACAAGAGCTGTTCCAGTGGTGGCGAGAGGACCACACAAACAGTACGATTCGCGGGCAATGCGGCCATCGATGGCAAACGAAACGCAAACAAAGATAACATCAAAAACACTGATAACTTTGGCGCCGATCGACCCGTCACTCAACGGTACGACAAACTGTTGACCCGAACGCCACAGCCGTACGACTTCGGCATTACTCGACGGTTCACTCTTTTGCCGCAACTCTATAACCAACAGAATAGACCAACAGAACCAACAAATGACAACAACAGATCCCACGTCAAGAGTAAGCCAATGGTGGACAACGAACCCGCGTATGACACCACTCAGACCTGTCGTTTTAATTACATTAATAACAACGGCTTTAAGCTTAATTTGGGTTCGGCCGCAGACCCCGCGACACCGCCCAACCCGTCCACCACTTCGGCCTCCAATCCGTACACTAATAACAACAACAACGCCGACAGCTTTGTGACCGTCGAGTTCACGCCCGGTCTGACCACTAAACGACCCAAAGGTGTCTCCAGAGTTCGGTCGGCCAATGATAACAACAATCACGTGCTGTTCAACGAGAGTAAACCGCCGTCAGGTGTGGCCAACGCTGGTCTACACAAGCGATTACCACAATCGGTGCTCCAGAGCGTAGAGAACGATAAGATAACACCCGAACAGCCCATTCCGGCCATCAATACAGACAAATCGGTTCAGATGTTGCGCTCTATTACGGGCAAAGGCGGCAGTAGTGGTACTCCTCCGCCACCCAAAAGTCGAGTGGACGCGCATTTCCACCACCAGATACTTAACAATTTGTAAATTAAATTAGTTTTACTGCTATTTGTATTTCTTATCCATTATTTACTAACTCTGTATTAATTTTAGCCAACATTTATAAGTTATAAATTATAACTATTAATAATAGTCTATTATACTGTATATTGAAATTATTAATTACTTTTTAATAATAAAATTGTATTTTCATAACCACTCTTTGGCTATCATTACTTAACAGAACTTCATTTGGTATAAAACAAACTTATCTACAATACAACAACTAAATCAACGGTACATTTCAATTAACTATCAATTTTATTAGAATTAATTGTAAACAATAAATATATATTATATCAAATGATTGCAACAAATATTGGTGTCCATCACCGCTCGTTCTCCACATCTTCGTCCAAATCCAACTCATCCATGTCTTGGAAGAGACTCTCATCTACTTTGACATCGATATCGATGTCTTGGTCTCCTTCGTCGAGGAGGCGAAGGTCTGAGTCGATGTCCACCTCGTGATTGATGAACAACTGCTTACCCGTCAGGCGTTTACTCAACTCCTGTCGGGCTTTGAACGTCTTGTCCAACGCCCGCAACTCTTCGTCATACTTTGCTTTCCATGTCATAAACGTCTCGACCGTAACTATAGTTCCCTCAAACTTCTTGTGCTCCGCCTCTTCCTCCGCGCGTCGCTTGCGGTCAATCGTGTCCTTCAGTTCCGTCGCCTTCTTGTCGGACATACGATTGATCCAATCGATGGCCACCGAAACCAGAGTAAACGTCATTACCATTCCTAACCCATTGGCCGCTTCAGTCTCTAGCAGTTCCAACAGTTCCCGTTCGTCCGAGTCGTCCAAATTGTCCGATTCCGGGATCTCTATCTCCGGCACACAATCGGGATAAGTGTCCGGAAATTTGAATTGAATGGTCGCCGCGTCTGGCAATCAAAACACATCAAACAAACACATGATTATCATCACAACAAACAACACACTCTTTAATCAACTCTTAAAGAGTGTCTTGTCTTACATATAGTGTCGCAAACGGTCTCATCGTTCGAGTCGTCTCTCATCATCTGTGGATCAGACTTGACGTCAATCGTAAACTTGTGATATGGCGTCCGACTTATCACTGGATCCAAAAACAAAGACATTTTCATATCAATGAATGCAAAACACAAAGTCTTGAGCCCAACAAACCGGTCAATTCATTCGTATAGATGGCCTCCAAGGCCTCCAATTCGTTGGACTGCTCTTCGGGGTAATTCATGTCCACTAATGTCTTCAAGATATCATAATTAAGACATCAATTGATTTGATTCACAATCAATGCTATAACACGTGTAAACATTACATCAACTTTCAATCCAATCCATAGTACACTCTATTGGCGTGATTTGTAGACATTTATTATAGGATTAACCTTTGATTTTTCTACAATATTATTTCTACATGAGAAATGCATTGACAGTGAATTTTCAAAACAAATAACGTTCACATATAGCATATAGGGGTAGTTAAGCAAACGCTTAATTAATGCATTCACGACAATAAGGGGAATAATAAATGTGGATTAGTTGCACGTTGTTTATGAACAGGTTTCAAATGCAAGCATTATTTAAACAGCGATTTGCCGTTACGTGAGATCACGTGACCACACATTAGCCAATAGTAAGCGTTTAAATGATTGTATGAATGAAAACACATTCATTGTTTACGTTATCTCTGAAACCAAGCGATGCTTTTGTCACTCTATCTGATCCCAAGTATCGCTGATAACGAGTCAAAGTGACAGTTATTTGGCGCTCAAATCTATTATCTTATCCCTGGTATCTGTGGTAACCACTCAAACGTGATGTCCAAACGTCAGCCGCACAGTCATCGTAAGTGCAAAACAGTGGCCAAAGAGTGTCAAACTGTGGGACCTATTGGCCGGCAGTCGACTAGAAGATCCAGCCGTAAGAGTCCATCGGTGGCCACCGACGAGGGCAACACATACCACACAAGTGGCACCTCTTGTCCATCAAGTGTGGCGACCAAAGAGGAGAATCTGTGCGAATACTATCCGTCGCGCAAACGCTGTCAGCCGTCGCCCCGAAGTCACACTCACGTGAAGTACACGAGGATTAAGAGCCCGCGCGCGGCCCTCAAGACACTGTCCACTGGCGACGCGTTCATTGGCTACGGAGACGACGACTTCTACGACCAGCAAAACGATTGTCAATCGCCGCCAACGGCACCGCCTGTAGTGATCGCCGGCGGTGGCGACCGCACGACCGCCGCTACACCACAGCAGTCGTTGACCACCGAAAGTGTCGACTATCAGAGTTTGTTAGACATATGGAAGACAGCGATGGACGAGAAGGACGACGAGGAGGAAGACATCACTGAAACGCTCACTGAGTTTGTGGAGCAGATGACAGCGCCAGTGATTAGTGATCAGTTGGCGCCGCCATCACTACCAGTGGTGACCAATACGTGCCCAACGATTGTCGACGATTTTGACGACTGTTTTGGTGGTGACGATGACTTCTTTGACGATTGTGTTGACAAAGTCATTGACAATAAGACAATTGCGTGCGAAGTGGTGTCAAGTGATAGTCCAGAGTCTCATACGGTGGACACTGAGCCCGAAGTGTGTGTTGTGTTCAATACAAATGACAGTGAATTAGTCGATACGAAGAAGCCGTGCGACGAAGAACTGGAAGCGTTTGACGATTCGTTTGATAACATGTGCTCTCAAATTGACTTTACAGTACTCGAGCCAAAGGCTGCCAAACCGATCGAAAAGGTGGGCAATGATTGGGCCGATTGTGGGGCCAATAAAGTGAGTGATAGTGTGGCTAATAATGTGGTGATTAGTGCCGACAGCGACGATGGCTTCGGTTCGGACGACGACTCGTTCGGCCAAATGTTGTCCCAAATGCCAAACGAAGAGTTGTTA